CTGGGCAGTTGTTTCGCTTGAGGTCCGACTCTCCCCATGCATTTCATGCCAACTCAATTTGCTTCTTCTGACGCCGCACTCAGCTCGCTTCTGGCTCTCTTCCCTTCCGGGACACGTAAAATGGGTGAGAATTGGGTACATAAGGACGTGCCGTGTCACTCTCGTCGACTCGCCTTGCGGTTCTTCTTCTCCCCCACCCTCGTTTGTCTTCGCTGCCCCGACTTTACAATGTTCTCCACAACGAAAACCAGGTTTGTGCCGCGTTCTTCTCTTTGGTGGCCCAGTAGTAGCTGATACGTCCACGCCTAGCTCTGCCTTGCTCGCATTTGTTGCCTCTGCGGTCGCTGTCTCCAATCTGCAAGCACCTACGTCCGTTCAGCCGGGTCAGAGCGTCACCGTGACTTGGTCCTCCGACAGCACGGATACGTGGGTCCAAGCTTATGATTGCCCACCCGTCGACTCATCTGCCTCAGCCAGCCTGCTGTTCTCATCATGTACAGCAAGAAGACCTACGTGAGTAACTTGTCGCGTCAGAATACGGTCACCGAGCGTTTTTCAGAGCGGAGCATTCGCTCTGGCTGACGACATTGATCTTCAAAAGAACAGTCTAACAGTTGATCTGCCCCAGGTCTACACTGGGTCTGTATACTCAGTTGTGCGCGCCGAATTGGCCCAACTCTGACGCCTTTCCACAGCGACAACTTCACTTTCGAGATCGTCAACAAAAACGACCAGAGCAAAGTTCTTGCCCAAAGTAACGCGTTCTCCGTGGGCGGAACCCCCGTGGCGTCGACCATGTCCGCTGCTAGCACCGCAAGCCCGACTGCGACGGCCTCCGCTTCTGCTTCCGCCAAGCATGCTTCATCTGGCACTCATTCCGCGAGTGCTACGAAGACGATGTCAGGGTCTATGACTCACAGCGGGTGAGTGTCAACTTGTGCTTCCAATCCATCCCTCTGACTGCGGGCAGGTCGATGACGGCCTCGGCCCATCCGACGTCCTCTTCTGCGGCCTTCCCGTCGGGCACCTTCTCACTCGTCTCGTCGCTGGCGTCTACGATATCAATGGAGAGCTCCGCGGCCGTGGCCGCGTTCTCCTCCGCCACCTCCATGATCGCATCCTCCGCCTCGGCCGAGTTGTCCCACATCGCTGCCTCGGCCTCGGCCTCTTCGAAGAACTCCGCGCCGCACGGTACCAAGCACGTTTCGCGTTCTGCTGTGGCCCTCGTGGCCGGTGGCTTGTTGATTGGCGCCCTGATGGGGCTGGCTTGAGTTTTTCTGTATCGGTGCTGGCTCGGGCATCGACAGCGGTGATTGGCTGTGGTCTGTCTTTGTCAGATATGAACCTTGTGTCTGCGATGTGTGCCGCGAAGGGCGGAAGGAACACTGTTTATTATGAACTGACGAAGTAACTTACCTACCCTTCAAGCTTGCTACGTACCTACTCTCGTTTCGATCCTCCATGCTGTTTGTTTGTTAATACCCACTTATCTCGTACGATGCCCGGACTCTTCACCTCGGGCCCTGGCTGATTATCGCCCGCGCACCTGCCTTCGGTCCGGTTCATCGCAAGTACGATGACCCCAGCCTTTGAGAAAAAACATCCCCAGAAGGTGCCAGGAGGTACAGCGCCGAGACAGGCCGGTTCTTCCCCGGATGATAAGCATTTCGAGAACCAGCTCTGTTTGATTGTTCAACTCGAAAAGCACGTACAACAAAAACATGACTACAAAGCTTTACAGTGTCCGTCCATACGATATATACTTTTAAATACACGATGCAAAGGTCGAAAGCACGAAAGAGAGAAAATAAGATCGGGTGGGAACCCGGAGAAATTGATGAAAGCGGGACAGAACCCTTCTCCATCAGGCGAGTGGTATCTGGTCCGGCCCTCTATTGTTGGGGATCATCCCCGCGAGACTGGGGTCGGCTGGCCTGGTAGTCCTGTCTCGAAGCAGGCCGGGAAGCAGATAAGCTCTCCACCGGCGGCATGCGCGGGCTGGGAGCGGCGCTTGCGCGGGCCGGAGGGGTGCTTACTGCCGCGCTGGGCGCGGGCGCCGGTGCGGAGACGGACGTGGCCGGTGCGGGGAGGGGCAGCGTTGGGCGGGGCGGAGACTGCTTGACCAAGCTAGAAGCAGCGAGCGATCCACGGCGGTGGGGGAACTGTTCAGGCCGCGGACGCGCGTGAGTTCTTTCGAACAAGCCGCATTTGTTGCACAACTGAACGAACGAACATATTGACCCCATCAGAGTCCGATCGCGACTGATCGAGCAAAATCTGACTTACGACTTTACCGGGGCTGAGGTTGGATCGCCGCCAGGTGCTGGTCTCGGTTGTCGTGCAGTTAAAGCAGCGGCGTCGGACGCGGTCTGTGACGCGCGTAGCGGCGTCGTCGGTGAGCATGACCTGTGCAGCCGGGATCGCGGCGGCGGCGGCGGTTGGTCCAGAGAGCGACACAGGATAGGGCACATAACGTGCGTATTGGCTGTGGTAGGAATGCGACACGTGCGAGTGGGCGCTGCCAGTCGGAGCCGCGTCGTACCGGGGATCGGTGTGCGATTGCTGCGGCGGTGGCGGGGGAGCGTAGACGTAGCCGCTTTGTGAACTGTATTCGCTACGAGGCATTGGAAAGGGAGAGGTAAGGTCGGAGCGAAAGAGCAAAGCGGTGGATGAAGTGAGTGACCCGTTGACTCCGTTCTGATTGCTTCCTGGGCGGTATTTATCAGAGCACGCGGCTCACTAGTGACTGTGGGCGTACCAATGCTTTCCCAGCGCCTGTATTCATGCTCCGGTGCGGCCCAACACGGCCATCACGCTTCTCAGCCAATTGAAGTGCACAGAATCGTCCGGCTATGCCTGATGCTGTGGACCGTGGGCAGATTTTACGGTCTCTGCTGTTCATTGATAATCTGTCCGACCTGTCCATCCATCATCCCGCGTTCATCAAACAAGGACAGCGCCTTAGGGCAATCTCCCATAACGGAATCCCATCCTTATTTTTCGCATGCGGCCAACTCATAGGCGCGCAGAGATGTGCTCCGAGTTTCTGTTCTAGGAGGCATGCGTGCAAGATGCGCCTATTTCTCCGCCGATGGTACCCCATGACGGGTACTATCAGCGTTCTGATCATCGAAAGCGTAAGAAATCTCTTTGACCATCGCTGTGGCTGGGCCCCGGAACGGAATCCCATCTGGTTTCCAGATCAGACGGAGCCTTCTCTTCCATTCACTCGGTACTTTGGCTGCCATGAATGGGCGACCGTATTTGTTTTAGATTGGCGCCAGTCCACGAGCTCGCCCATCCATAGCCTCCCCTGCGTGCATCAACCGATTTGACAGTCTCTGCTATATCCAACCTGCCGTTGCTGAGGGGAGTCCATTCCCAGCTTGACTGATGCCATCACGGCCTTGGACGGTTCCCCGCATCGCTCAATCACGCATGTTGTGAATCCGCATGGCTTCCAAGGGGCTTCAACTTAAATACGCGCTGACCTGCGGACATCGACAATCGCTCCCTAAGTGACAGCGGCCAGGGACTGATTGCGACATAACTGACCCTTGGAATGTGCTCGTTATCATGTAAACCGATCCGGAAAGCCTCTGCCCGCGGTCCCATTTCTGTTTAGGACTTTTTCCCACGCGATCTTCCAACGTTCTACGATCTCCGAGAAAACACATGATGTGATCAGATAGATGTCCGAGACCACTTGTATCTTGAAAATCCCTGCTACCATCAGAAATCGTGCGGCTGATGCAAATTGGGTGGGTGGTACCAGGTGGTACCGCGAGAGAGAGAGCGAGATCTCCATACGAAACGAATCCGGAGATGCCCTCGATTCTCCCGAAAACGCGGATCATTCGTGTGGCGCGGGAAACAAAGTGGAACAGCTGATACCTGATTCCCTATCGTGAAACCGGTTCAGTTCGGACCCGGGATGTCTTGTGGACGGGACCTTCGTTCGAGGTGTTCTCACCGAGAGTAGCCTTTCGGAGGACCGATGGGCTGGCTGCCACTGCTGACTAGCCGACGTCGTTTTATTTTCAGACGTTCACAATTGAATCCTCCGAGCAGGTTACGATATTGACTGCAGCGATAATATGACCGCATGCAACGGGGACGTACAAAGCTGCCACTGATACCTATCTCAACTGCATGCATAGCTTCAATCTGTGCCCTTCCCGAGGACCTAAACCGGGCAGAGATCCGTTGCAGATCCCTAGCTCCTAAACTTCAAACATGATTGAGCCTGGAGTGCTGTGCAGAATGATTGATTGATCCTACCATCTCAACAACGGTTGATTCCTCGCATAGATAAAAACGGAGCCCTTCTTGCATTGCCCATTTGACATGCAAGCAATCCCATTGAGTGGAGGTCGTTATATTTGCCACTCCTCAGCGACTACTCGCTCGCTTTGCGCCATGCCAACAAATGTCAGCATAAGTCTCAATCTTGGAAGCACAATTCATTAAGACGTGGGTCAGCATCCTGAATGGAAGCGCACCGTAACTCTCAGATGCGCATGGTATCCAGAGGGTTGCTGGCGACTTGGAGATACGACCACTCGACTCGGAACAAGGTTGTGCTTGCAAAACGCTCTAGATCTCCAGCTCTGGATCCGAGCAATAAATGGAGTGCCGGACTGTTGTTGGATTCGGTTCATGAGAGCTTCAATACTTGACTTGGAGCTCTCCGCTGTCTCACAGACTCGCGAATCACATTCGATTTTAACTGTCGTGATTTCTTGTGGTTCCAGTAGTTACATAAGTAACTCGATAATTAACCTTCGAAAAACTGCCGCTGGCCGTTGCACATTTGGTCTGATGCACAGAAAAGCATGGGCCGCTCTTTAATTTCTGTCTTTTATTCAGAAACACCTGTATAATCTTGATCAATGGCGAGCGCATGCCTTCTTATTCAAGCTCGAAATAAGAGTGTTTCTCATTCTCAGCGCTGTGTGCATGTCAATCTTGATTACGTCACCGGATCATCGGAGCTCCAAATGATATCACCCGAAAACAGGGAGCCACGGCCTTGCCTCACCTCGTCGTCGCCCACAATCCCGCCACCCCCCCCTCCTCCCTCCCTCCCCACTTCTCTCGACGCCCTTCTTCTGGGTCCGAAAGCGAAGATGTTCATCCTCCCCGCTCAAGCTCTCCCCTTCGTGGATATCTCCCTGCCTACCTCGGCGAGCACCACATGGCGTGTGGGCGGATTGAGCTTCAGCCTGAGCTACACTCGGCTCCTGCTCATCCTCCTCACCAACATCGTATTCGTCTCACTCGTTCGCTCCGCCATACTATCGCGGAAACGGACACCCATCGCCGTGACTGTTATCGAGAAGGCGGAGCAGGCCGTAGTTTTGCCGGAGGCGAAGCGAGCTGGGTCTGCGCCTGTAAACATTGGCGATTCTGTCCCGCGTCGCCGCGCAAGTGGTCCAGGCTCTTTTCCTTCAAGTCGATGGCCATGCCCACTCTCGCTGAGGCACTCCCGATAACGCTCAACCCGCCTCCTCCACCCGTTATGCGGGGTGGCCATGTCTACCGCGGTGGCCGTGGTGTTGGATTTGCCTCGCGGAGATCTGGCTCAGAAGCCTCGCGGTCGCGAGCTGATGCTTCCAGTGCGTTTTGTCCTTCTTTGTCCGCATCAACAACGGGCGCTGACGCACATTCCTCCTTGTCTTGCAGTGACCGCTGTTTACGACTCTGAGACGCCTGTTTCGATGGCGCAGATGATCATGAGTCGGCATGTTAGTCCTCCCATCCACTATTCCTTCGTTCGCCGCTTATCGTCATGGGCAGACGTATCGCCGCCCTGCCAGCCCTAGCCCGCGACGACTGGCTCCTTCGTCCCTGAATGTATCACGCCAGGCATCTGTCCCAGACTGGTGCCGTCGCCCTCTGCATCCTCCGTGTAAGAGGCCCCCGCGGGTTGCACGGCCTGCAGAGCCCGAGATGATGAGCCACGATGATGCTGATGAGAAGAAGATGACCCCGACGGACGACGACGTTTGCTATCTATCGCTATCTATTCAGCGTGCGGTCCTTCGGCCGTGCCTGCTGAGCTGTTTGTTATATCCATTCTACCTGCCCGACGCACACACTTGCTACCTTTGCGCTCAGCTTTATACCACCAACCTAACTAACCTCTTACGCTACAACCCGGACTATATCTTTTCGTACAGACTCTTAGACGACGTTGGATCTCGTGTTTCCTGTAACATATTTGCTATTACATTCGCTTCGTTCGCCACTTGTAGCTGCCAGCTACTTGTCATATTTATTGTGTGCCATCTGGCTGTCGACCAAGATGGCATCCATGGAATCATCATCCATTATTCAGTCGGTGCGAGTTCTACCGCGGTGACGCAGGGCAATTGGTCGCTAAGCGGAAGCCAATTCGTAAGCCTTGAGGCTTGGACAACCGGAGATCGAGGACGCGGCAGAGCCGATCCGGGGACTCGGACACTAGTTTCGGCAATCGCAAGGGCAGCGCCCAGGTGTAGTGGTATCCTCCGACTGGATGAGGCCGCTTGTGGAATTCGGCATCGAGAACAGCCGAGTGGCTGGAAAGTCGATCTCCAGGACAGTGCACGTCACGGGTCGAAGCGGGCGGCCTGAGCGAAACATCGCAGCGGACCCGAGTAAATCCTGGCATCTGTTCTCGCGGAGGGCCCATTGGTTGCCGAGCTGGCGAGGATGGGTGACGATCGTGGAGGATGCGATGTGTCCTCGCCGGTGAATCAACCGTGCTCCATTCACATTCCGCATATTGGACATCGCGCTCGGCGAGGACGTGTCTATGCTTAGACTTCTGCTTCAGTTTCTGTGCGGCTTCTTGCCGAAACGAGTAGTCTTCCCCCACGAGGGGAGGTCCTTTCTGCGCCACTTCGGCGTCGAGTCGAAAGCGGGGATGAGCTCGGTGCAATCTGCGGTCATTGTTTCCTGCGGGGAGCGGGACTCGGGGATACAAGGGAGGATTCAAATGAGATGACAGAACCCATTCTCAAGCGCCCGCTTATATACCCGCCGTCTCCACAAAGCTCTGGTCCATGCGTGCAGGCCCCATTCACCAAACATTCGATCCAGGCATAGCCAGAAGAACCAGGCGGACAGGCCTGTCAGTTTCAAACATTTTATGGCATCCGTCGTTCCGCCTTGTTCTTCGAGTGTGCTTGTCAAGGTTCTTGTTGTCGTTGGGGATGTCCACGACGTGGGCGTCGTCACGGCAGCAGGTCCATTGGAGAGGACACAGAGAGGTATCGTTTCTGGCTAGTGGCAGAACTTCACGAGCGCATAAAGAACACATCTCATGATATCCTGCTAAATGCGCCGAGAGTCGCTGTCGACAAAGCTGAGTGTTGTGTGAAGCGGATTTGACGGATGATGATTAGGTACCTGTCACGTGCAACTCAGTTTACGCGCACCCGCACAATTCGGGCCAAGATTTGCTCCTTAAATTTTCGCGAAATGAGGCTCCCAAGGAAAAAAGAATGTACCGCTCTTATGGATGAAAATCAAGAGTCAAATGAATCGCTCTGATCAGATTGTGCAACACCGAAAATGAAAGAATTGTTCTTCACATCTCTTCAATCTTGTTTCTACCCATTTGAGAGAGAG